GCCGAGCGGGAAGCGTAAGCGGGCGGTGGGGTGGTGATCTTTAACTTTAGGGCAAAAAAGGGGGGGGGAAGGAAAGAAAGAGAGAAAAGGCAGTAACGCGCGTGATGGTGACAGCCAAGAAACCAGCTCCGCGGGCGAGCGGCGTCCCCCTAACCGGGGAGCGGGCCGGGGCCGCGGGTTTAAAAGGCTGGAACAGCCACCGCGATTTTCGTTTGCGGTCGTTCGCGTGGCTTCGTGGCGTGGCTTGCCGCGCGAGTGGGGCCGGGGGGCCGGGGCCGCGGGTTTAAAAGGCTGGAACAGCCACCGGTTTGCGGTCTGACTCGTGGCAATGGCTTTTTTCCGAGTCTGAAAACGCAACGGAACCGGCGTTGTTTTCCTGCCCTCTCGCGAATTAAGGCGAGGGAAAATGCTCGTTTATTTTTTAGCATTCCCTCCACTGAGTGGAAAACTCAGTGGCGTTTTCCACCGACCACTGAGCTCTCGAGTAACTTTCTCCCCCCGGCTCCCTGAGGCCGCTTTTCGGAAACTGGGGAATGCCCCCGGTCTCCCAAAACAGGCAGCGATCGAAATTGTAACGCACAAAGTCTCGGCCGTGGCAGCGAGGTGTTACAGCTCGGTGCTTCCGTCGGTGGAAATGGGAATTCACACGGGGACAGGAGCGGACAAAATACACCTCGGCCGCGTTCGGCACCGGGCAGGGGCAGAGCTGGCGAATTTAAACAGAGTATCGCCGGGCAAGAAAAAAAAAAGGCATGCGGGAGAGCATCAGATCCCCACCCGTGTGCTCATCGAAAACTAACGATATGCAGAACATACGGCTGAAACTATTCTCCGAAAAGGGAAAATATTTAGCTCTTTCCCGGAGCGGCGCGTGTGTATAATAAATACCGCATGCGGGAGAGCATCAGATCCCCACCCGTGTGCTCATCGAAAACTAACGATATGCAGAACATACGGCTGAAACTATTCTCCGAAAAGGGAAAATATTTAGCTCTTTCCCGGAGCGGCGCGTGTGTATAATAAATACCGATAATGTTCATGTATATAATAAACACGGGCATCCACACACGGTGAGCACACGGACCGGCTG